CCACCAGCCGAGACAAGCCAGCTCCCGCCATGCTCTGCCCACAGCGGTGTCTGAGACATCAGCACGGTTGGTGCCCATGAGCACTTGAAAACCATGGTGCCCAGCACTCGTGTCAGAGCTCAGCAGCCTGCAAGTGCCAGGCCTATCTGGGAGCGAGCCCAGGGCTGCCCTTCCTGTGCTGAGGGCAAGGGCACTGCAGGGTCCGCGCAGAGGTGCTGCGTACTGCAGCGGGGTCAGCAAACCTTCCAGGCACCAGGAATCCCAGGAGGTGGCCAAAGCAGGGGAGCACCCCTCCCAGCCCCTCGCCACGTCTGCACTGAGGGGCTGCAGCAGTGCGTGGCAGGACAGCACTGCCCATCTGCTCAAGGGACCCCGCGTTGCTGCAAACGCCATGTGGGACAGGCTGGTGGCAGCGCTGGGGTGGGTCCTCTCTTGCTGCAGGGCTCGCTCTGTGCCAGGAGCCCCATGGTGGGGTCACCCACCTCACCCCAGCTCCTGGCTCCGGACAGGGCACTGCAGAGGTGGAGGGCAGGACAGTGCCAGGACACGTCGAGTGGTCTTAGGGCTGTTTCTGAGCGATGATGTCCCGGATGCAGGTGTACAGGAACATGTACTGGTCCTGAAAAAGAGAAAGAGGGGTCTGGAGTCAGGCTTCTGGCGGAGACCACCTGGATACAGGACTAACTCTGCAGTTTGCCTTAAAAGGTCCTAATTAACCAACAATGTCTGATGGCAAAGTAGGATTTGCTGTCCCAAGTGGTCCATGTTTGTCCTGTGTCAGAGTTGCCCAGAAAGGAAGAATCAAGCCTGGAGCTGTAGTTACACCATGTGGGTTTCCTCCTGCTTCATCATCCCCACCCACAACACCTGAAGGCAAACTGCACTGTGGCGTGAGAGGACCATCATCATCTGACTTCCTCAAAATGCCTTGGTGGCTTTTGGATGTGCTATGGTGTTTGCATCCAAAACAAGACCAAAGAGCATCTCCAGCAACGATGCAGAGCATTGAGTGGGGAGAGCACTGCCCAGCTGGAGTGCACAGGGTCTGGCAGTGACCTGAGGCCAGGAGGGAAGACCTCTGGAGCAGGAGTTTCCCTTGGTGATAGTCTCAGCATACCTGAGCCAAGGGCTGACATCAGATCAGGGTAGATCCCTGCAAGCCCTCAGAGGCAGACAGCAAGATGGGAGTGGGTTTAATCCAGTTGCACCATTTGTCTCTTTTTAAGATCACCAAAATGTTCCCAAGGACCCAAAACGTAGGTCCAGAGGTCTCAAGTGGATTTGATATGGGGTTCTGCTCAAAGGCCAGGCTACTCCAAAATGATGCTAGGCTACAAAACACCTGGGACAGACCACTGCCATGGTCTGGGAAGGGTAACTGAGGATGTACGTGATGCACAAAGCTTACGGGCAGGGCCAGCCTGCAAATGCTGTGGGCTGAAGTCACACGGCAGCCAGGACGGGGGGATTAGGGACTCGACAGAGGGGCCTCCGAACAGCTCAGAAATGCGCTGGCTAAGCTGCAAGTCACGAGGAGCCTCCTCCCCTGCCGGCGGGGGGGTTAGGCCCCCCCCAGGGGCCCGGAAAC